AATCCTGAAATCAGAACAAGTGTTTGAAAGAATAAAGCTACATAACACGATTATATCGTAACATTGTCACCTCCAGTGCTACTTTGCTTTTAACCCCATAAAAATAACAAGATGAACTGTAGGTTTGCAAGGGCAAAGCACGCATTTTGTTCTTTAAGTAACGCTAATATATAGTTTATTATGCTCCTCCCTCGATTAAAAAAGCTACTTTAAGCTTTACTCAGCAGCTTCGGCTTTGGCTTAAAGGGTCATAATCATAAGCATCACCGGATTTCACAAAGCGGCCCTTCACACGCTTCCTCACGTCTGCTCTGGCCTTGCGAGATGCATATCTTACTTGCTTCTCGAATCTGACACAAATAACACGAAGCTTGAGTTCAGAGCTAAATAAGTTTGCACCCCTCTTAGTTACTGATCTTGAAGTTTGAAAGTGAAAACCTTATTACATGGTGGTGTTTGTAAAAGAAGAAAAAATGTTGAAAACAAAAAAAAAAAGAAAAAGAAATAAGATTTGGCGAATAAGTTCTAAGGACTTACTTCTTAGACTTCTTTTTCTCCTTGTAACGCATGACAGCATCATTCCTGCTAGAAGGGGCTATGGACCTTTCCGGATCGTAATCTCCCACACTGCTATCCCCTGTGGGGCCCAAAAAAGAGATGCTTGACTGCCCGTGACTCGTGAAATATATGTTGGGATCAGTTTTACAGCTAATAGAATCTGCTGATGTTGCATTACTGCATGCCGGTTTTATCTTGAACCCTTCTGGTGGAGGAGTTTCCTATTGAACATCAAATATACGTTACGTGATGAACGTTATGCAGCCATGAAAAGTCAAAACAAATGGTTGGCTATCGACATAATTAGAACTCTTTTGAGTCCAATTTCGTGTTAATAAAGGACAAACCACTGGAATAGATCTAAAAGCCCCTACCACTGTTTTAAGAAGACATCATGCAGGCACCTGAATTTATTAGAGGACATCGGTTATGAGGTTGTAGGGAGGGACAAAAAATCATTGAGCCTTTTTATTTAAGCAATTGTGCAACCAAACAAAGAAATGTCGCATGATGTAATCATAAATTAGTTATTTAGCCTAAATATAACCGAATTAGTGTTGAGCTAGAACAGTCCAGAAACACATTATTTTAGTGCCTTCAGATAGCATTCAGAAAATAATCAAATATAATGCACAAGTACACGTCCATATAAGAACATATATATTTTGTCCAGATAATAAACTCATACGTCATGAACAAAACTTCTAATGTATTAACACGTAAAACTAAAGAGCATTATTCGTAGATTTTTGTGTGTGTGTGTGTGTGTGTGTGTGTGTGTGTGTGTTGTTTGGGGCAGTGAGTAGTACTTCAAATTTCCAAAACAGGTTTAGGACCTTAGGTGTCAACAATTGGGAGAATAATTGATAGCCAAATTAATTGAAGGAAAGAAAGACAACGAACAACCTAAGCAGAAACTCAAGTGCTGCACCTCTTATGTCACGTTAGATTTATGTTGCACTTTAATTTAGATAAGCCAAAACACATCAAAAGACTATTAAAAGATATAAAACGGCATATTTCAAATTCATGGAAGTTCCAATACACCCTTGCGTAAAAAATCGATACGGGAATCTCAGAGTCAATTTTATCTTCAACCGAACTAAAATTCCTCTGTTATATTCCCTACCTTTTGTTCATCTTTGCTCTTCAATCTGCATATAATGAAATTGGAAAGATCATTAGTGATGGCCCAATTGTTAGATAGGTGTGCCCGATAGAGACAATGAGGAAGCAAGTCTTAAAATAAAATGTCACGGAACCAAAATGGACAAGAACAGGTCTGCTACCAACAAAAAAGAGAAGGCCGAAGATAACCAATAATAGACTGTGGAAGGGGAAAACAAAAGGAGTGCGAATAAACCAAATCTTAAATAAATGAAGGTAATACAGGAGTTTAGCCTGATCCAAGACATATTTGTGCTGCCTCTACAAGTGGTGAAGAAATAACACAGGATTTGCCGGTGGTTCTCGAGTTTCAACATAACCACATTACCACAGTGCTATTCTTTCTCTCAGTTACTGCTCAGTAACAAAAAGGTTAAAAAGAAAAAAAAAAACATTGTGTCTTATAATTTTGTTAGCCAGTTCATATGAGATTTCCCAAGGGAAAATTACAGAAACCCCAGGATTCATATATAAATAAATATAATTTAGGCCAGAAATAATAAGATAAGATCCAAGTTAAAGAACAGCCGAGTCATCAATTATGGACATGGCAATAAGGAACTAATACTACATGAGATTACCACAGCTCGAAACAACTCATAGATTGAAGCAATAGAACGCAATACCTGAGCAACTGAAGCATCCTGAGTCCCGAAACCAGACACGTTCGTCGGTTTAAATATCCCTTCAATCCCATTATTATCAAAACGCTGTCCCGGATTATCAAGAGCCTCAGCAAAAAGCTCTTCATAATTCTCAATACTCAAGTCGGCCTCATCCATGTTACCAAAGATACCAGCACCAGCATATCCCGCAGGCTCCTTTTCCCCAGGTACGATCACATCACAAAATCATAATTCGAACAACAAATTATTTTGTTTTTTGTTTTAAAAAAAAAAGAAAGAAAATAAAAAAGTACCTTGCCCGTAACAGAGCTAGAAGCTCCACCAGCTGCCACATCAACATTGAGAAGCCCATCATCAGGCGGCTTAAATGGCTCGAGACCACTCGTTCCCCGGGCATCTTGCCACGTGTCATCGGAAATGCTCATCAAATTCATCCTCTGCTCGCAGGCCGAGTCCTCACCCAAAAGGAACAGAAGGTCCACTAGGAAGGGCCAAACCATGAAAAGCTCATCGTCCGTGGGACATCCAGAGTAGCAGCTGACTGGCTGCCTTGTGTGAGCAGTCCCCAAGCTGACGTGGCACGTCCAGTCGCAGCACTCACACAGGGATTTCTGCTCCTCAACGCACCTGATGAGGGCTGGCTGGCGGCAGCACCAATCACACACTAAAGTGCGCGAATGGCGTCTCGAGAGGGCATTCGCAGAATGCACTTTGCGGTCACAGGACAAACACAAGCTGGCCTCGTCCGAACGGCAGTACACAACCGCCCTTTGCTCCCCACAGAAATCACAGAGATAACCCATTTTACGCCACTTTCTTCTTAATTCAAACTATTGGAGGGAATCCCAAACTTTGTTCCTATCTATTCGAGCTGGCAGTAGGAAGCTGTGGTTGTTATATTATCTGCAGTTATAAAAAATGAAAGGGTTACAAAGACGGACGTGTGTAAAATATGAGCGATCGGTATATATAAGAGCATGAATCGATTTTTATAAAATGTGTTATAATTGAAGTAATATTTTTTTTCCCAGGTGACAAATGACATGGTTTTCCAAAAGAGAGGAATTTTAATGGCAAGAATATTCCTGAGACCAGTTGGAACTTGGAATATATTTTCTTGTGACACAGGGAGATTTGTAGCATTACTACCAGTTATTGGAAGAATAAATTCTTCACTCATAGATAGCTTGTAAGCATCATGACAAGACACATAAGAAAAGACTAAATGAAGAAAACCCAACCAAATGGCATGTCATTATACCTGAAAAGTGAAAACACACCCACCCAAATACAGAAACTCCAAATAGATGTAAAACCAGAACCATACATCACAAATACAAAAAGGTGGAAGCTTTATAATGAATTCTTCTCTCTAGCAGGTTCCTGTCATCAACCCAGTTAAAACCCAAAAAAAAACAGATAAAGATCAGACCTTTCCTGAAGAGTCACTCTCCTTCTCTCTATCCCAAGCTTTCTCTGTCTAGGGGAGAAGATTGGGCCTGAATTGAATTCTTTAGGGGTTGAACATCTCAAATATGTGTGTTCTGACAAAGTTTCAATTGAATTAATTTAGAAAAGTAATGAAAAAGTGATAAAAAGGTGAAGAAGAGTGAGAGGTTAGGGGGTGAGGGTGGGGCCCTGTCCTTTTCATGGAAAGGGATTTTCTTTAATTTTAAGGCCCCCAAATTTCATCCTTTCCCTATTATGCCCCATCAAAAAGGTCATATTTTTTTGTGCTCTTTTTGTCCTATTACTAGTTTAGAAGAATTTCAGCTTTTATAACTAATAAAATAAAAAATCAGACAGGATATGAAATATTAATAATATTAAAATCAAATATCAGAGGCAAATTTCCTCTTGAAATATTTTCACTGGTGAAGCTTTATTAGATCCAATCTCAATATTGGATGTATGAAAATGTAAAATGTGTAGTAAATGAATTTTTTCAATAGTATGAAAATGTAAAATGTGTAGTAAGTTAGTTAATTTATTTAATAGTCAAAATGAAATTGATAGCAAACATGCATTTGACTTTTATTTGTTTATCAATCATAAAAGAAAACATACAATTCAAACTCTTCATGGACTAATTTTTTAGTTTCTCAAGGAAAAAGAAAATCAAAGCTAATCTTTTCGACTGGTGCGGGTAATTTTAGATATCAAAACTCATCACGAAAAGCTATGTTTGATAGACAAATAAACTAGTTTATATTTTATTTAGTTAGTTTATAAACTTCTTGTATTTAAATAAGTTTCGTTTAGTGTTACGAGCTTTTTTAAAAAGCTTAAGTTTATCGCATAAGCTTCTTTTAGCAATTTTTCAAATAAGTTAGTTGAAATTTTTATTTCAGCTAGCGTCAGTTAATTTTATCAAACACTTTTAATATATAAGCTAGTTTTTCAGCTACAGGTCATAAGCTATAAGCTTGAAAATTACTTATAAACTATATCAACTATCAACTAGTTTTACCGAGCATAACCTAAGTTTTAAGTATACTAAGCCAAACTTTAATAAGTCTTTTCTTTTGTAGCTATGTGGTTAAGCATCCAAAACTGAAAGTTATGTGATGGAATGAACCCCCACTAAAAAAATCTGCATGAGTCACAATTTTGTGGGTTATCATCTAATCTTTGATTTTTATTTATTTGTTTTCTTAAAATTTTAAGAAGAAAAATACCTTTTAGATTAGACAGCGTATTTTTTAGGTGAAAATATACAATTTCATATTAAAAAAAAAATAATAATTTATGTCACTGTTCTAAAAATCGGCCGGGCACCCTCCGATTTGTACAAATCGGTCTAAAGAATTGGCCCGGCGGGAGGACTTGGCGGGCTCGGTGACACTTTTTCAGTTTTTTTTTTTTTAAATACTAATTAGATAATTTTGTTGGCATGTTTTATTTATAATATATTAATATTATTATTTGGACTTAGATGTATGGATTTGTTATAAGTTGAAATAGTTTTATTTTGTAGATAATTAAAATAAATAAAAAAATAAGATATTTAATATTGATTTCTAGGTCTTGACTAGGCGCCGCCTATGCGCTCTAGGCGCTAGACGCTGGTCGAGCGCCTAGCGGGCGTCTAGCGACTATTAGAACACTAGTTTATGCTAGTCCGCTGTCCTGCCCGAGTACAAATTAGTACATCCCACAATTGATTTTAACATACAATATGCAATCAATGTATTGAAAAATCACAAGATCATGACAAGGTTTAATGGACTCATTCTAATATATCCATGATCGATAAGTCAGCATTTCCATAGTTTAAGCTATTATATTGTTTGATTGAAGAAATGTATATTTATATATACATTTATATAATGGATCAATCCTTATTGCCATAATTAACATGATTTTAGGTGAAAAATTTTCATCTATATTTATCATTTAATTAATATTTATTTATTATTAAATCTTATGCATGAAAAACATAATTAATTTTTATACACTAAATGATTATTACTCATTAACTACAAATTGGTTTAAATTAAAATTTTGACCGTAGATTTATTAGATATATTTTCAATAAGATCTTATATTAATTTAGTAGTAATTTATTGACACAACTCAAAAAATTATTATGAAAATTGATTTGATTAAATATATTATCATATATGGTTGTAGGTATTAATCTAATTAATTATATTCACTATTCATAAGTACTTAAAATATTTAATGAAATAATCAGAATAACTATGTTTAAATCGTAATAACTTAATAAATAATTTAAAATATTAATGTTTCTAAAATATAGTCAATTTAACTATAAAAGGTACATCCCCATTGAATTTATCATATGCAGTGATAATAATATTGAAAATTTAAATAATATACTAATAAAAATAAAATTTGATGGTCGGGTGCAATTCAGAATTATAAATTTCACCTTAGAAGTATCTATGTACATTGAAAAACTATTCAATTTTTAAAATATTTTTTTCCTATATACTATTTTATATGAAAAATAAGTTAGTAAAAAAGCAATGTATAATATTTTAAATTATAACACTTGGTAATTATGGAAATATATAATATATCTAAATATTTGAATAGATTCTATGTAACTTATTATATAGGTTAAAAAAATGAATTAAAGAATAAATATAAAAAAAGATGAAAACATAAATATAAAATATTTAATCATAAAAAATTTGTGTGTTGCATAGGATTAAAGTTACTAAAAATTAAAATTTATTTATCAAAATTTGTAACATTTAATGCACTTAATAATTATAACGTAAGATAAATATTATGAATCAAACGTTAGTCAATTATGAAGCACTGTGCAAATTATGAATTGTTGAAACAATTATAAGACTATAATAAACGACAATTTTATAAATACATACAAGTAATTTATATACAAATATTATATGATACATTTAATAATATTTTATAAACTTATAAATAATAAAATTTATATATTAAATAGTTAAAAACTACAAAAAATAAATATATAAAAATAAAAATTAACAATAATAGTAAATAAATAAATTTCATATTATTACTGAATAGAATATTGTGGATAATAGAATCTCATATTATCTTAACTAATTTTATAATATTTAAATAAAAAATATTTTTTTTTATTTCACCCTGGCACGAGTATCAACACTGTATTCTTGTAAACAATTACTGGCAAATTATTTATTGTGGGAATTTGTATTTTATAATTTGCAGTCACCGGCCAATTCAAGGGTCAAGAACGGCGGCGTGCTTCATGACTGTGAAACGTCTATACGCATATCACTGTCGATGAAAAAGATATCTAAAAGTTTTTGCTGAAATTATAATTACAGAGATTTTACGGCACTTTCGTAACAATAAACATATCAGTTTGAAATTCAAAGGATTTGATGTAAGGAAGTCGCGGGGATGAATATGACAAGGTGTCATATAGCATGAACATGAAGAAACATAATTGTTCTCAGTATGTTTCAACTTTCAAATCATCGTTTTATGTAAAAAAAAATAAAAAAATACCATGGCAGGTCTTTGCACTTGTACCATTGCATTTCATACTTCCCTGGACAGTCTAACCCAACAGTCTTGTATGAAAAATCAAGAGATGGCCAGACAACAAAACAAATTACTTTCATGTTGCTTTTTTCCTCTTTGCTTCCCACCTTCACGTACCTTGTCGAATGCCACGGACATGAACGACTCACACAGCATATGAAAGTCAAAACCGTAGAGTTTCCATGTACCAAATTCACCCTTTTTAACGTATANGCACATTGCAGAAGATTAATGGGTTTTTTGTTTACTCACACCATAACCCCATCATCAACGGTGGTACTCTCTGGTGCACGATGATCCTCTGCAGCTGCAGCATCTCTATCTTTTCTACCTCCTCTCCCAAAGAAGAGTCTCCCCCTAACTCCCGATCTCGGTGCACCGCCAATGGGGAGAGCCGTCTCGATTGCTTCCACGTATAAAACCTTCACCAGATTCCTAAAGCGTCTTCTGTAAGTGGGCAATCGGGACATGGACTCCACAATTCCTTGTAGCCTAAAGGTTAGCTAGCTCAATTGTGGTCAAATACATTACATACAAGATTAATTGCGGCTTTCATTGCAATTAACCTGAGAGAGAGAAAGAAGATTTGATGATTTGTACTGACCTCCTAATTATGGCTTGCATCTGTGCTCTTCTGACTTTGTCAGTCGAGGGGAAGCAGGTCTCGTCCCAATCTTCTGGTCTCTCGTTCTTACAAGCTATGACCAACTTTTTCAGGCAAACTTCCTCAGCTTCTTCTAGCTCTAGTCCCTTTATTTGCTCCTTCATAGTGAAAAGTGGCCCAATGAACCACTCCAGCATTTTATCCCTTGGTAAGTTGACTCTTGTTAATTCCACTTGTTCGGCTGCCAAAGTTTAATCACCAATTTACCCACATGTTAACCTCCGTAAATAATCAACAAAAACGAACTAGGATTGAAAAACTTACATAGTATTAAACCAGATGAATTGGATTTTGCCGAGGTTAGGAGACACTGCATAATGGACCAAGCGGGTAGTTTGACGGCAAGCTTCTTGCAGTCACCTTTTAACATAATCTCCTGAATATCTTTACCATTTATCAGCCCTTCTCGCAAGAGAATTTTTCCATTCACCTCACAAGACTTGAAGACCCAATCCCAAACCTAAACTTATCCAATAACTAACTATTATCTGCTGCTGCAGACAAATTTGAAATACGAATGTTCGCCAAGTCAAGGAAGAAGAAGTAGAAAAAAACCTGCATCGGTGTATATTGCTGAATAGCTTGTTTAAGTGTTCTTGATCCTTGTGAAACTAGCTTTGAAGCGTGTGAGGCTTCTCTCTCGTTTTTGTTATCGAGTGACTTAATTTTCTCCAGTCCATCTGGAGGCCTCGTTTTTCTACGGTACTGAGGCCTGGCTGTCAAAAGGATTCATTAAGTCAAGATTGATGATCGTAATAAGAGACTCTCCTTACAATTATCAATAGAACTACAAGAAAATAACATTTAAATTGAAAATTGAGAACAGGAAAAAAATAATAAAAAATAAAAAAACTAGTCTTAGTTTCTTAGATGATACCT